CCGCTCCCCGCAGCTCCCCCGGGCCGGGCCGGGCGGGAGCCGGGCGGCCCCCGGCGGTGCCCGTTGCTTTCCTCGGCGGGAACCCGGGGCTGAGGAGGGCGGGGCTGCCTGTCCCGAAGCAACTGGTGGTGTGCCGGGCTGGAGAGGTACTGGGGAGACTTGCCAGAAGATTTTTTTTTTTTTTCTTTAAATATCTTATTTCACTTTTTATTTCTTTATCCAGAAAAAAACCCCAAACAGTTAAACAGTTCCGCTTAACATCCCGAGACCTTTTCATCGGCTTGAAACTCTGTTTCTGCAGAGCTCCGTGTTGCGGCGATGCCACTTGTGTGCTTGCGGGGCTGCCATCTCTAAGGGAGGCCAAAGCGTTCTTCCCCTGCACCCCGAGAAGCAGTGGGAGATGGCTTCAGTGTGCTAAACGTCCCAGTTTATATACAATTAGAGAATCAACCTATTTACACATTTAAAGTGGCTTGTTTGTTCGCTCTCACATTCCACTCGTGTGTGTACATTTACAGTTAAACTTGGCTAAAGGGGTTAGAGTGTTTTAAATGCAACATTATAAGAGCATTTCTTGAATATTGTCATTCATCAGAGCATGAGAAATCAGATGGAGCCCAAGCAATCTAATCCAAATTTCATGCTTTTGTTTCAGTCAACAACGTGGGAATATCTTATGTTTATCCCGAATATTTTCTTGACATTCCAGACCTGGATGAGGTAAGTGCTTTTGTGGTACCTTCTAGTGTTCTCATTGTTAGCACAATGCATATGGCAAAAGTGTTCAGGTTTGGTTAAAGTACCCCCACAACGAGGTTTTCTGATTAGAATTAAGGGTTCCAGAAGTTGAGAGATTTACGTACGCAACATAGTTCAATTCAGATGATGGCAGTGCCATTTTTTTCTGGTGTGCTTTTACATGCTCTTCCCTGCTGCTTCATTTTGTGTTTCTATTTCAGACAGGTGCTACCTGAATTCCACTTCTGTCCATGGGCTCATCTGACATGAACTACATTGGCTTGGGAGGGGTTCTTAAGTGACTGAAGGAAAGGGGAGCAAGCAACTTTGTGAACAGAAGCTGCATATTCCCATAACACTATTATGAAACTTAAATATGACCAGTTTAGACAGTTTGTAATGTAGGGACGATCTTGGTTGCACTGGGTACATTGAAAACTCTGAACAATTTCACTGGTGCATGATTTTGTTTCCAAACCCCCTGTAGCTCACTGTATCCACTGTGGCTTTGTGTTTTCTGCCTAAGTACTGATAAACGTATCTGGGTTTTGGTTCACCTTCAAATAAGCTTCATAATATTTAGCAAAAAAGTCCTATTTTTTTTGAACCTCATGAATAAACATTAAGTCGCTAAACCACTCATGAAATGGTGAAGAGCAAAATACAGACATTAATTTATGAACATATCTAAAATATCATAATTTATTTAACTTCATAAATATTGCAAATAATGTTAGGAAATACAGTGTCAGTGTGATATGTCTGTGTTATTCTTTATTAGTATGACTCCCTAATCGGAGATAAAACTTGACCAAGAGCAATTCACAGACTTGACTTTGAAAGTCTGTCACTGTTCTGATGCTTAAGCAGGGAAGCAGGGACTAAAGGTGGATGTATAAGTGTAAGGTTTAATTTATCCTGGCTCTTAAACCCAGAGAGTGTGTAAATATTGAATAAATAACTTAAACCGTAACAAACCCCAAAACTTTTGTTTTCTTGCAGAGAATCGACAAAATGGTCAACATTAACATCGTGTCTGTTTGTAAGGTAGGTGCCCTGTTACCAACATTTGTTCTTGATGTCTTAATTCAAAACCACTAAACAATTAAAATTGCTTCAGTTGTCCGGAGCAATTACTTTCACCTGTTGGACCACAGTTAATTTTTTTGTCTTAGAGTGACGCAGAGGTTATAATTGTTTTATCAGACTGTTCTGATTGTTTTGTGAAATATCATTTGTTGCAAAGATACCTATTAGCTTTCAGAAAGAGCAAGGTACGTACACAAAACAACACTTAATGCTTCTTCATGCTTGTTGTTCTAATTTTTGTAAATCACTCATTCTTCTCAGTGTTTCTTGGAGTGGGCAACCCTTATTTCTGCACACCTAAGGTTTTTGTACACTGTAGTGAGAAGGTGCTTAAATATTTAATGTGAAATTTATGAGCAAGAAGGAAAACCAAATTCACAGAAGTGTGCATTAACTTTTGAAGTAAGGTTACCTTCCCCTTTTGATATTTAAACCGAAGTTTTTATTGAGAAGAAATCAGCCTGACTCAGGCCAAAACATATGACTGTTCCCTTGGTTATTAACACGAGGTCCATTCAAAAATCAGATTTTCATCCTAGTATTTCAGGGCTTAGAAGAGGCAGAGGGAGTAGTAGGTGCTTACATGACATGGAGAGTAAATTAGTGTATTGCTAACAAGTGCCGAAGAAACTCCTTGTGAGTATCCACTGCTAAATCTTAACTTCCTCCTTTTATGCATTACAAAGCTGGCATCTCCACTAGCTGAGGGTTAACCTTTTGCCTCAAAGCCAAAATATTCAGGGTTTCAAGGCTGGCTCAAAAGATTTGGCTTCCTTGCAGCTGTTCTGATCAGGGCAAGTACTAAATTCTTCTAGTGAAGTGCTCTTGTCTAAACTGTATTTTGTTTCCATGTGAGGAGGCACAGGACCTCTTAAAACAATGCCTCTGTAAGATTTTCACAGCTTATCAAAACACAGGCAAACAGTGAAAATGCGACCGTTGCATGACTGAATGAGATTGTTAATGTCAAGCTGCTGCTGCTAACTCACTTCCATGTGTGTTTTATTTGACATCTTAGAACTACTTGTTGCAAAGTTAGAAATGCTACAACAGTGAGTCTTCAGAAACTTTCCACTTTGAAAATGACTGCTAGCCTGATGAGTACAGACTTTTAGTTGACCAAGCAAGATTGTGGCTCATGGTGTCCTGTTGCACTCCTGCAAGATTTCATCAGAGAACTCAGTTATTAATGGGCACCTTTGAAAGTGTGCTCTTATGGAAGTAGTTTAGCAGACTTGTTTTTAAATGATAACGGAGCTGCTAGCCCAGGTGTAAATCTGAAGAAGTGTTGTGCATAGACCTCTTAGTTAGAGATCAGTGTAATCAGAAGAATGTCTCTGCTAAGGTGTGAGATCTGTGCTGTGCCAGCAGAGGGAGTGCACTATTCAGTGATTAAAGAATTTGGGGTGTCCATCTTCCTGGGAGCATTTTGTTAGAATAGAAAACTTACAGATGAACTACTTCAGTATGTATTTTTGAAGATGATAGGGTAGAATTGAGGCCCAATTTAACTCTGGATACACCTAAAATTCCAGAGATGCAGCCAGATTATATTGGTTTCCAGAATAAGCTAGTGCTGTTTTGTGACTTCAGTCATCATGTGGTATCTAATCAGTGGTGGTCAACAATGTAGCAAAATTGTCACACATTTTTTTGTAAAATTTGCATCCTGTCAGCCTCTTCACATTCTAACGTGGTTGTCTTCACACATATAGAAACATACTGAAGATCTACTTGCTGTGTGTTAATAGTGTTTTTCCTTCTGTTTGGAAACTTTTTTTCTTGACCGTGAACAGCTCGTGCTACTGGGTATATAATCAGAGTTTGAGCATAAGCTTCCAGGCTTGAAAATGTTTCCTCCTGCCTGAGCCTGTTGTGTAATTAAACAGTAGGCATGCCAGATGCTTACTGTTTTGGGGAGAGGAGCACATTAGAGATATGTACCATCTGTAAGTAATTTTTTCAAGAGAACCCATAGAACTAGAGAATCATGGTAGGAAAAAATAATTTTAGGAAAAGTCTGTATGTTCTTTCACTCAGATTTTTGGGTTGTAATCCTATGAACATTTAGTTCAGTATTTTAGGTTGATACCATCTCTTATCCAGGGATGTGTAAGTGTTTGGGGTTTTCATTTTAAAAAAAGTCTCCCTTCTTGCCTGATTAAAAATGTGAAGTTTGGGATGGAAGAGAGCACTGAGTTCTTAAGCAAGGCGATGAAGGTCTGCTAAAAAGGTGGAGGTACATGAGAGACAGAGCCCATTCAGGCTCTTCTCACAGTATCTCCAGATCCATGTCAGGTGTCTCATAACCTGTCTACTGTTCTATTAGGGAGCATTGCCATGCACTTCCTTGCCTTTTGGAGTTAAAAGGTAATGATATCCCCTGTCATCTCAGTAACCCATGCCACATGCCATCAGAAACACCTCTGTTGGCATGTCAAATACCTCCACAGTTCTGGCTGAAACACACCTTAAGCTTGAAGTGGGAAAGGTAGCACAGTTTGATTCTGCAGAAATGTTAAGGTCTATTTTGTGGCCACAGGTGTAGGCATTTTTGAAGGGTGATGCTCCTCCCTTACCTTTTGACCCATTGTTTTCATTGTTGGGCAGCTCACTGGGTTTCCTAGGGGGATATGCAGCATGTAAGGAGGGGTGCACTGAGAGGTAAGACCCCATCTTCACCTTACTGGATAAATTATCAGCCTAGCTGGTCCTACTGTTTAATACTTTTCATAGCTGTAGAGGATCTGGCACTGTGAAATTTTCCCTAATGACTGAGAACTTGTTTCCTGTCAGAGCTTTTAAACATGTGTCTTGCCCAAATCCTGTTCTGTGCTGCCTGCCCCCATCATGTCCTTAGCATGCTGCTGGGCTGTGTCACCCGTGAACCCCACAATGGTGCACTTTTAGGGCTCAATCAGTCTGGCACGAAGTGTTGTTGTTACTGTGATCTCAAAGCACCCTGTACACCACTGAAGACAAGCTACATAAAACGTGTTGGAAGTCTCACATCTTGTAAAATACTGGTTAAAAAACCTGACCAAATGCCACCCTGCTTCCCCAACCACAGTACACTCTTTTTAAGCTCGCTGGGAAATGTCACATTTTTATGGTGATGTGCAGTGCAGGAGTTACTCTGATCATCATATAATATACAAAACAAGAAGTGCGTTGTGTCTTGATGATGCTATAAATAGAAGGAAGAATTGTTGTGTGTGGTATTTCCTCAGGAAAGCTTGAGACTTACTTAATACAGCCTTATACAAGGCTTGAGTTGACAGATAAATGAAGAAGATGGGGTAGCATGTGGAGTTTCATGGTTCTTGACATAATCTCATCTCAAGTTTCTGGAGGGATTTAAAAAGCAGAACTTTTCTTTGCTGATTGTTGGTGGCAGTTCAGGTAACACGGGTTTGTGTTATAGTTTTTGCCATCGCATTTTGAGACACAAACATATTTCTGACACTGAATAAAATATCAGGTCAAAAGCCATGTTTTTTTTTTTCCCCTGAACCAGCAAGTGTTGAAGAGCCAGAATTAGAGTTGCTCTGTATAGTTTTCATCTATAGTTCCTCTGTATCAACTGCATCTCCATGTATCAATTCACCTTTGTATGCTACAGCCTTTGATTTCACCTGGAAAAAGAACTAAACTTGGTTTGGCTGTTAGATTAATGTGCTGAAAGCCAAGGATGCTAGACTTGCTGTCCAGTGGAAAAAAACAAGTAGGTAATGAGCACAGAGAGTAGTTTGACATATTTCAGGGAGCCCTTCTTTCTTTTCTGGAAGCTGCAAGAGATACTTTGTGTGAGGAACAGTATGTTATTTCTGTTTGCAGCATGGCAATATGCTAACTGTGTTGGGAGTGAGACATAAACTTGTGTTCTCTTGAAAAATGAGTAGGACTAAATAGTTGAGGGAGTGCTGGCTTAGCGGTTGATTAAGCAAGGAGCTGAATTGGTTTGCAAGCTATTATGTTGTGTGGGATTGTAAATTTTAGGTTTGCAGGCCAGGCTTTGGGTGGAAATTAGCATTAACAGAGGAAGGGGGAGACTAAATGACATATATGTACATGCCTTGGTGTCTGTGCCAATCTTCACTTTGATCACCTTATGGTTTATACCAGATGTCAAATACAAAGGGATAATAGACCTGCAAGATCAAGGTTTTTTATCATCACCGTATTATTAGAGAAGCTTATAATTTGCTTAATACTTCAAAATACATAAATACTTTGTGTGGAACTGAGAGATCAGGTGTCAGCTGCCCTCTTAATGGAAGAGGAGCGAGAGGTGAATTATACCAGGTTGTGAATCCCAGGCAGGACAAGGGAGCAACTCTACCTACAAATTCTGAAACTGTGAGTTTAGGGAAAAAAAAAACCCAACAATAAACCCCATAACTGATATAAAATTGAAAATGGGAGAAGAAGCTAGTGTGCTTGAGAAATAGGGAAAATATTATTTTGCAGACCTGAGCGTACAAAGAAGAAAAGCATGGGGACCAGTTATCCTGAAAGACGTAGGAAAAGACACCTCTCTCCCCCGTGAATGTTGAGATGGGCTAGTGCAGCCTCATACCGTGTCAGTAAAGGTACCTTACCAGAACTCACATGATAGTTGCTCATGCCCTGCTAGAACCCCATGTGAATTTTTGTATTTGCTGTGTATTGGAGAGGATCACAGGAAGTGGAACTTAATTCTGAGGGAAGTGACAACACTGACTTGTGAGGTGATTGTGTGTGTGTATTCCAGTCTAGTCAATAGATTTCTTTACATTTATATTCAGAGTCATAATCAAAGCGGAGATGACGATTTAGCCAAGTACATGATGTAAGTTTACAACAGAGAGGGACAGTTGCCAACGCTTGGAAAAGGAGCAAGTGTTCTGTGAAGGTGGTCATGAATATCATTCAGATGGTCCAGAGGGAGAAATTAAATGCTGCAGTTTCCCACCTCA